TTTATATTTTTCGATCACCTCGCGTAGCTCTTCATCAACACCTTCGGTGATATTGTCGGCGTTATACTCCAGAACCTTCTTGTCATCAGTACTGTTGTTCTCATCACCAGGGATCAAGTCATCCTCCAAAGTACTACAATACTTTTGGCTAGCCGCGACAACATAGATTTCTTGCTCCTGTTTGGACTTGAAGGGCATACGATTTACATGAGAAGTACGACCTTGAACCTTGATGATACCAGACGAGGTTGGCACCCTTATTTGGGAGTGAACCAAATCCAAAGAAACACCATACGCTTGAAACCATGGGACACCCAACAAGCAAATTTCAGAACCATCTTGCACCGCCATGTGCTCAGGCCTGATTTTACCACCTATTTCAACCGGTACATCCATAACAACATTTGAAGGTTTAGGAACCTGATCTTGGTTGAATCCAATAAGATGTAGACTATCACCATTTGGTACAAGACCAGCAGCAGCACAAACCTTCGATCCCAGAATCGAAACAGACGCACCAGTATCGAACACCGCCTCGATGAATTTGCCATTAATGGAAATCATGGCACGAAGAGGAGAACTAGATTTCATCTTCTGTAAATCATACGGGTAACGATAGACAGATTCAGCATCACTAAACTCCAAATCACCTTCATCTTCAGATAACTGCATGACATCAGAGCTGGTAGAACGACTTGAAACAACACCATAGTCTTCATCAGAAGCAATAGATGAAAAATCATCATCGATATCAACTTCGTTGACTTCCATGGGAGCACTAGTACCAGGTAAATCCTTCAAACCAGCAATGACCTTATCTGTTACACCAACAGACTTATTCCTAGCAACAACCTTAGATTCGCGAAGATACCTAATACCATCAATAATTTCAGCAGCAGCCTCCTTGTCCAAAGATAACCACTCCGCCATAGATATTCCCGCTTCGGTTCCTAAAAGCTTAGACCAAATTTTTGACCTTTTTAATTTAACAGGGTACCGCCTAGCCTTATTCCTAGTCTTGCGCTTGACTTGCTTTTGAAACCCAGAACTAACGACCTTACGATTTGAGGATCCAGCCATAGCTTCAACAGATGGAGGCGCCATAGCCCTTCGTTTGACACCATTGGTCAAAATTTCATTCGCCAAAATTTCCTTAGCACCATCGACCACCGTATCAACCAGTTGGACTTCTTGAGAATTTAGAGGATTTTTATTTATTTTGGGAACATCAGTAACCTCATTATTTACTGATGCTCGTTCTCTTTTCCCGACTCGGCAGAAGAATCAGCAGTATTACCCAAAGGAATACTATTACTACCAGTAGCAGGATTAGAGGCAGGAGCTTGACCTTGATCACGCAAAAACTTGGGGCAATCATACTTCTTATGACCAACTTCACGACAATAAAAACAAGTGAAGACAGGACGAGAACCATTATTACCATTGTTGCTATTGTAGGAGACGAAAGGTTTAGGTTGACCTTGTGCAGCACCTTCATTCAAACGCACCAAATTAATACTGAGCTGTTCAAGTTTAGCCACCAAAGAATGGACGTCGGAACTAGCCACAGAAGAGACATCGGAAAAACTTGACCTAATCGAAGGCTCAGGTTTATAAAGACCTTTCTCAGAAACAGCAGTACGACCAGAAAAATTATATTTCAAGAGACTCTTCTCAACTTGCTTGGCCTTGATTTTAGCACCCTCAAAAGAACTAGGAGTACCGTCCTTTTCTACCTCAAAACCGATATCAGAACGAATAGCCGACAAGAACGTACGAATCTGGAAGGCATCACTTTTATTCTCCAAAAGTTCAAAAAGTTCTTCCATCTTCAAGGCAACATCATCAATACTGTCGCCTTCGCCTTGCTTCATGTTCTGGAGTTGACTCCACCATTTATCTTCTTGGTCAGCCAAATATTGTTTCTTGAATAAGGTAGTAAATTCATCCCAAGAATTTGCCTTGACACCAATGACATTAAACCAAGTTTCAGCCTTTTGAACCAAATGATCACTGACGAGGAAAAGAACTTCATCATCCGTAAGCTTAGCAGAAACCTTCAAACGCTCCATTTTCTTGAGCCAAGTATAAGCCACATTTCCCAAGTCTTCACCAGAAACAGAAACGCCAGAAAAGCTACGCGGTTCACTAACACGCCAGTTAAAGCCCTTTTTCGTAGTTAAAGTATCAGAACCAGATTTTTGAGCCATTGTAGAGAGCACCTAATTACTTGTATTTAATAAACTTTCTCTGGTAGATCGGACCACTTGAAATGAATCTGATTGTCTTTATGTTTACCTTGTATAGAGTAATAAGAATAAACAAATGTATAGAATAACAAGAAGGAGACTGTAAGACTAATTGTTAAAGAATACAGACAAAAAGATATAGATTTGCACTAATAAGCTTTGAAATCTGCAAAGAAGTAAAGATAAATCACAAGTGTTTAAAAACAAGTAAAGTTTATCAGAAAGAAAGAATTCGATGACGTTTATTATTATAAATCAGACAATCTTATATAGACGTTTTGACAGCTGTCAACTATGGTACAAAAATAACTAATACGAAAATGGAATAAAATAATAACAGGGTACGGAAAAACTATGATGAGAACAATACAAAAATAGAGTAAATCAAATAAGGGTACGGGAAAACTATGATGGAAATAATATGAATAATAAGAAAAATAAAGAACTAAACAAAACAGGAAGGTAATAATAAAATAAGTGAGATACGAGAGAGAGCGACGAAATAACAATAAAAATAATTGTAACTGAGAAAGAAGAGAATTTCACGAGTAACCGACTAAGATAATTAACAACCTGCCAATTTTAGAAAAGCAGCAAAAAGACGCGAACTGAACCTTCGGAGAAAGAATACCAGAAAAACTTCTAGAACACCAAAAATAGTTTCACCGCAATATTATTTGTCGGGTCTTTATCACGTATTTTTAGAAACTCTTTTCTCACCGCCAAACTCAGTACCAACTAGATCTCCATTTCTCAGACAAGATTAACGCGCCATTCCACAAATGAGGGAACCAGAACCAAGGAACAAAGAAGAATAACCAAAATAATATTACCAAGCCACTTTTAAAGTGAACGAAAGCGATATCATTACCAAACTGCGCACGCATCAATCATCAAATACCGATCTTAGCTCAGTTGGTAGAGCGGGAGACTGTAGTGTATATTGTCATCTCTAGGTCACTAGTTCGACTCTGGTAGATCGGAATCATTTTTCCTTATTTTAATAAATGTGGTGTGTGTAGACATTACTTTTATCACAAATATGAATTATTCTATTTCATTTCTAATTATAAAGAGATCGAAGAAAGGTACAACATCATATTAAAATAGATACAGTTACTGCATTATATTTTCTGATTTTTCATTTTGGAATAAAACTGTGCGAGGTTCTTTATGTGAATTTATAGCTACTGATACTATCAAGCAGACTACTGGATCTAATTTTTATTTATCCTTCCGATACTGAAAAGATAGCTTGTTAATTGGAGCAACCACCTGGTGCACTAAAGTTAGGATACCGTTTGATCAACAATTATTAATACATCAAATTACGGGAGCAACCTTTGTGCTCAGAATCTATTAATATGTTATTTATTAGCCACCTATCAAATTGCAATGCTTCAGATAGTATAAATATATACTCGCCACAAGGTTTCACTCTGAGAACAGCCTTCAACAGTATGCTGATAACCAGCGGGGTCATACGTGATTTATGAAAAAAAAATTATACTATTGTCCATCCTTATTGTAATGTGGCAATTATTACTGTTATTTATAAATGATATCCTCAATAAATACATTTACAAATAATGACCAATATCTCATAGCTGCTACGTTCCTATGACCCGAACTAATGTCGATCTGATTTGATTCAGCTCTTGAAGTATGCCTTAGAAGACGAGTTTACGAAACTGCAGGAGTTCTAACAACGTAACTCTCAATGTTCTTAAGCAATTTCTACTACGCATTTTTATTTCTGGAAAATTATTTACCGTGCGTACCTGATTTTTCTCGGCGATCGGTTAAAAAACGACTAAATAGGAAACTACCTTATTTTTGGCTTGCAAAATGCATTACTTTCTTTTCTGAAAAATCTAAGCAGAGGGAAGTTTATTCTCTTCGTACACAAAAGTCTCTTAAACTATGTCATATCATGTCAGTTAAAAAATACACACTTCGAATTTGAGTGCAGATTGAATTTTTACATAAATGTCAATTTTTTTTTCGAGTCGGCCAAAAAACGACTAAATAGGAAATGCCATGTCTTTTGACATAAAAACAGATTTTATTTCAATTTATGAGAACTTTAGCCATAGAAACATTTAGTTTTGTCATAGAAGTTGTTTGGCAGATTCTACTATAGCGTAGTACGACAATGCTGTCCTTGCATAACTTCGAGCTTCCGCATATTAATCTACATAAACTCGATATGTTACAAGGTTGTGTGACTAACCGGAGAATCAATAAAAAAAGTGTATATAAAGGATCTGCTTAGATCCATTAATGCAATTATTGACCAAGTCAAATTAAATTTATCATTATGAACACTTCTACTGAAAAAAGTAACATTCTGCTATTAAAAAACCATGAATAGTAGCAAAAAAATTAATTTTTTATTTTAGTTCCCTCAAATAGAAGTAGCGGTAGTAGCGCCAGCAAAATAGGATCCACTGTCTATAATGATATTGAATCTTACCCCCAAGAAAAAATTATTGCCAATGGCTATAATCCGAAAGATGATCCTAATCACCCAGTGGTAGTTATTTGCTTATGTGCATGCTCTAGATATGATTATAATTCGTTAACCAATTGTTATGTAGAACTGGCCCAAGGGAAAAAAATACAGTGGTCTCATTGTGGTATCGTGTAATTCATTTATGGGCTACTTTTCTTCAGCAGTCTACGTAAGCTGACAGGAAATAAATACTGAATACAAGGGACTTGTCTGACCGCATTTTTTTTTATATGTAGATGCCTGCTACAAATGATATTATGATTTACTTTAATACAAGTCTTACGGTATGCAATAAATAGATTCACAAAAAAGATTTAGTTTGAATTGACTCATTTTTTTTAAAAAAATTGTAGACCATTAATGCAACAATTGCCCTCTTTTTACTAATGACTGCTCTTGCTGTAAGTTCATAATCCAACTTTAATTTCATCGGTAACTTATGACTTTTCTTTAGCCTCTCATTTGGGCTCCACTTAGTGAGCGTATTGGCAGAAGGTAAGAAAAGAGGCAATTGACTCGATAAAAAAAAGGAATAGAAAAAGAAAGGGTATATGTAAAAATTATTTTTATTAGATGGGTGTATATTGTTTGTATGGCACTATATACAGTGTGCACCATCATATGCGGTATCTCCACTAAGCTAGGATTGTTCTTTGTATTCCGTTTACTTCAGGGAATATTTGTCAGTGCCGGTCAAGCAGTAGGCGGTGGTAGTGTCTCAGATATTTTCGAGCCTCAGGATCGTGGCAAGGCCATGAGCATTTATATCTTAGGGTAAGGAATAATTCCTCTGACCAATTTAGATGTGATCTGATATTTTACCCTCAATTGTAGTACAATTCTTGGCCCTGCCATTGCCCCTATTGCTGGTGGTTATATCGATCAATTTTTAGGATGGCGGTGGATATTTTACATCAAGACAATTATGGGTGGCGTCCTTACTATATGTAGTTTTCTTTTTATCAAGGAAACACTTTATCATCCTGATGCCGAACAGCCTCCTCCTCTTACAAACATAAAGGAGCGTTTACAGAGACTCAAGTTCAACCCAGTAAGTTTTTCTCTTTTCATGTGTAAATTTACATACTGACTAATTTTTCTCAGCTTGGCAGTCTTGAGCTTTTATTACAGCGCGAAGTGTTGGTATCTTGTATCCCTATGAGTGTGGCATTTGGCTGGTTTTATTTCTTAGTGACAATTCTTCCTTCAACTTTTGGAAGCATATATCACTTTTCTGCCGGTGCAATTGGTCTCTGTTATGTAGCAGGTGGTATTGGCAACACGTTCGGGTCGGCTGTTGCTGGTATATTGTCCGATAAATTATATGCCAAGGCAGTTATAAGAAATGGAGGTGTAAAAAAAAGCGAGTTACGGTTTAAGCCTATATATTTTGGTGTACCATTGATGGTGATAGGACCTATTATGTATGGTTGGTTTCTTCATGCCGGATTGCATTGGATTGGACCTCTTATTGCTAACGTCATATGTAAGTAAAAAGTAGAAAAAAAGGGGAGACCATGATATACAGGAAACTAAAAAAAGCGTTTTATAATAGCTTGTATTGGAATCATGTTTACGGTTACAATTACCAGTGCTTACTTGGTTGACGCTAATCCTTCAAAGGCAGCATCAAGTGAGTGACTTTTTTGCTTATTATTCTTCATTTGCTGATATGATTGCATGAATTTTATCTTTATAGCTGTAGCAGTGGCTAACTTTACAAGAAGTGTATGCGGTATGATTTTTTCCCTCACTGCCGTACAGATTAGACAATCACTTGGTGATGGATGGTCCTAGTAAGTAGAGAATAGTGTAAACTAATGGACAAGTTTATTAATCATATTTTTTTAGTACATTGATGGCCTTGATGTGCCTTATATTTCATCTTACTTTAATTCCCATTGTTCAAAAGTTCGGTCAAGAGTGGCGAGAGGGGAGACAATGAAACCCATTTATTAGTTTTAGCAAGGTTCAACTCCATATAACATGCTTGGTTGTTACCTCTAACTATTTATATACATTCAAATAACCTTATGTTAATAATATTTAGTATTTAATAAAAGATAAATGAAATAAACAAGTTATGATATCAATCCTACTTTGCATTTATTTACGCGCTACCAAATTTAGAAGGTTAAAAAGTTCCCATCCCACGGTCTTTTGTTTTAAACAGTTGAATCACAAGGACACAAAACAAGAATTCTGGTTATAAAAGACCAATAGGTAAGAGAGGAAATATATCTTTACACTTTTTATAAACAAGAAATGCCCATGGTCAAAAATCTGGAAAATGTTCATCAGGAATTGATGGATATTGCTCGACAATCAAACAAACTCTCGTATACCAAGTATAGTTTTGGTGATGTTGAAAAATTGCAAAATCGACTTCGTCTCATTGATTCACAGTACAATGAAGCTCGGTTCAGAGATATGACTTCGGATAATGGGTGTTACGAGGAGGAAGGTCAAGCTCAAGTCTCTGATGAGTTGGTCAAGGTTCACAAGACACTTCGCATTATGCTTACTCGCATTGATAATTGATATTTTCTCTGTTGGGTCGGGCTCTTCGCTTGTCTCAAGACTTGCAAATGCATACATACCATTTTTTGTTATTCTTTTATCTTCACCTTCCACCTGGTTTATAATATTATTCTTTATAAAATCAATAAAATGCAACATGCAATGCAAAGTGTACATCTGTCTTAAGATGATGCCATTTTAGAAGGGCAGATTCAAAAAACAGACCCAGAACTACTTTTAGAAGTTAATAAAAATGGGGGGAGGAGAGGAAAAGAGGGAAAGATAGGTTGATGTAAAGTAGCTCACCTACATTTGTATGCTTTAATTCTGCGTACTTGTGATACGCTTGACTTTTAAAAATAATCACTTCTGATACCTACATACTTTGATTTACAACAGCGAATATATTAGATACTGATTTTTTGGTATGAGTTTGGGTCGAGATGTTTTATTTATCTCAAGTGTAGTATTTAATTCAGAAAAACCATTTTTTTTAAAAAAAACAGATAGCTGTTGTGTAGCAATGCCAAATGCCAGAGCCCTCCCATTTTCCTAGAATGATTTTTTTTTTTTTTTTTTTTTTTTTTTTGGTGTGATAGCAAGAAATGACAGCAGTTTTTCTTTCTTATTTGATGATGGTAAGCAGTTAATCACTTTGAAAACTGCTAGGATGATATAATGTTTTCCTTGATAGTCAATGCATGCTACAGGTTTGAGATTTATAATAAGTGATCAGATTTAATCAATATCTGCATAAAAAATACACACTATTTCTTTGACTCGACTCCAATTATTATAGAGTTCGCTTTTGTTGAATGTAATTCATGGTTTTGTAGCCTTATTTGGAAAGTTTAGGTAATGGCAAACAATCAATTTAAAGCTCATGGCTTCAAAGAAGTAAAAATTAATAAAGAGGAGCGACAATTTTTTGGCGAAACGTTATTTGTTCTGTTTTTTTTTTGTGTCAGCGGAAAATCTCAAAGCTTGCGTTTCAGTAATTAGCTTTAAGATATTAAAGGTTGACAGTGTTTAGTGGTATACCATTTATTCATATTATCGCCCTATCATCAACGGTACCCCTAGTACCCCCCAATTGTCCAAACTAGGAAACTAAAACGGACAACCCCCAAAAAGCTGCGGAAAATAAAATAAAAAATCCTTGGGGGTGAAGCGAACTTTTTTTTGTGTTTTATTCTTTTCCAAAGTACTACCATGTCACAAAAAGCTTCTTATCCTACAGCTCCTATAGCTTGGATGAGTCAAGCGTATGAATCCACCCCTAAAGTTGAACCGGAGCCACCGCGTCCACAACCCGTCATTGCAAACACCTCTACAGAAAGGTAAAAAAATAGAATGCATGTTTTAACAAAGAGACTCAATTTAAAGAATATAGCATGGAGCGTCCTGAATCACCTACGTTACCACCCGAGCAAGATCCTACTACTACCAAGACTATTACACCACCTTCTCCTCGTCGTTACGACTATATCGATACTTCCAGGCCTCCGCCGCCACCTCCTTCAGGTAATACATACATACACATGTATAATGTATGTAGATAAAAAGGGAGAAAGGTACTAAATGCTTCTTTTTTTGCTGTTGCTGTTGCTAGCACACTACTATGCACAAACCATGGATAAGGTCAACAAAGACCCACCACTCCCTCCTGCTCCTTTAAAAGTCAATACACAACGTCCGTCCAAACCCAACACCACTCAGCAACAGCAACAACAGCATTATCAACATCAAAATCAACAACGTAAATCGAAACGACCTATTCATATGTCAGATCATATGGCAGCTGCTATTGAATTAAGTGTCAGTCCAAACGTCGCACCGGCTCCCGCTGCTGGTATGTACTGGTCACGTGCCATCACGTATGGCAGAGGTCCTTCCCGACCTTTACGTGCTCACTCAGCCAATTTGATTGGAGAGTATTTGTATGTATTTGGAGGATGTGATGTTAAGGTGTGTTTCAACACATTGTATGTTCTTGATATGGGTAATTAGAAAAGTTTGTAAAAAAAAAACAAAGAGAAAAATTAACGCCATGAATCTATAAAAATAGACACCCTAACATGGTCAAAACCCCGTACATCAGGACAGGCACCACCACCTTGCCGAGCGCATTCATGTACGACAGTGGAACGAGAAGTGGGAGGTAAAAAAACCTATCATCTTTATGTGTTTGGTGGTGGAGATGGACCGAATTATTTCAACGATTTGTATGTATTGAATATTGATACCCTGATTTGGAGCAAGCCAAAAACGGAAGGAGAGCCGCCTTCCCCCCGTCGAGCCCATACAACGTGTATATGGAACGGAAAGATCATAATTGTGGGGGGTGGGGATGGTGCACGTGCGCTGGCGGATGTGCATACTTTAGACGTCTCTGACCCACACGCTCTTAAATGGTCTTTATTGAAACCAGAGGGAAATCCTCCTATTGCCAGAGGATATCATACCAGTAATCTGATCAAGGATAAGTTGATTGTTTATGGCGGGAGCGATGGCCATGAGTGCTTTAGTGATGTACATATTTTAGACCTAGGTAAGGATTCCTTCTTTCATATCCACCGTAACTGAAATTTATCATCAAATATTAGTCTCCAATACCTGGAATCAGATGGATTTAGATCGTGCCGTGCCTCGATTAGCTCACTCTGCAACACAAGTAGGCTCTTATGTATTTGTTATTGGTGGTCATGATGGGACAAGATATTCAAACGAAGTATTGCTCCTGAATTTAGGTACAAAAAGAAAAGAAAAAGGTAAAGGATCAAAAATTTAACGATAATTTAAATAGTGACAATGAGTTGGGAAACAAGGAAAATCTACGGCGGAGCACCAAGTGCCAGAGGCTATCATACCTCTGTATTGCACGATTCCAGGCTTTATATACTGGGTGGATACGACGGACGACATGTATTTGAAGATGTATACATGCTGGAATTAAGCGCTTGTGCTTATTTACCACAAATCACCAATTTTGAAATCGATGTTTAAGAGCAGTCTTTCTTATAGATGCCTGCAATAAATAGTGATAATCGTCAGCTTTAAAAATCATTCATAAAACTATCATATTCTGCTATATGCTGACATTCATACTGGAGGTTTTACCCTCGTGAGCCTTTGGTTTTAGTGCTTGACTTCCGTTCCTTTTTTTATGTGTGATATTACTATTCATATTGAAATATATAAAAGGTATTATTTAGTGAAAATCAGATTATGTATATGATCAGACCGTTGGAATGAATAGGTGTCTAAGAAAGAGGATATCGGCTTGACAAGGTCCGTGCTTCCAATCTGAAGATAACAACATAAATGTTTCGCAACGTTGTAATACCCAATAAAAAGCCGTAGTCACTTCAGTTGTTTGTAATAATCTGTCTAAAAAAATTCTTTTGAACCGAAAACGTCATTTTTAGTTCATAAATTATTTTCTACATACGAAGCGTTTCTTCATAAATATGTAATATATCGACCATAACATACGAACAACCGCAAACCTTTATAGTCAACAAGCCTATTTGATGTTAGACAGTCAAGGGTGGTGCCTAGCTGTCTATCTCATTAATCAATTTTCGGCTGAAGAAGACAGTTAATTCTTATACGACTTAAGCTCTTTATCCAGCTGTGAGTAAACGCATAAATTCGCCTTACCAAATCGGGATAACAGACTGCTAAACTGGACTGTTTAAAAGAGCAGTACAGAAAAAAATCAGAGGAAAAAAGTATAAAAGACTCGAAAAAGTAAGCAACCTATTTGTTTCTTTAGTGACCGTACTCTACAGGATCTGTATGCAGTATGTTTCAATTCTACGTTTTCTAAACTAGATACAATCCCAAAGTTAGTCGATGATTTTCAGTAGACCTTCTTTTGAGTGAAGTGTGCCGATTATTGTTCTCTGAACAGTTTTCGTCAGTTGATGATCTCGCCTGTCTTTATTCCAAGGACATGGCAAGGAAGGAGCTACAAGTCTGATAACTTATTTTTTTATTATGAATTACAAATGAAATAATCAACACAACTGGTTGAATCAAAATGACCAGAAAAGGGTTTAGGGTTTATAATACAGTATGAAACAAAAAAAGTTTTTTTTGACATTAAAATATTATTCGATCAGAAAACATCGCAAGTATTGATCATGGTTTCGTTTTGCGTGAAACCGAAGTTTTTTCTAAGTGTAGTCGTGGGCTGTTAAGTCCATTGTTGCAATGATCTATTCCAGTGGTTAATTCCGAAAATGTCATTTAAGTACTACGAGATGGTAACAGTGAAATTGTATGTATAAAAACTACTTCATCAAATGTTCGCTTGCATACCTGGCCATTGACTCTTCGAATTGCCTCTGCACAATTAGTTGACCTGGCTGTACAGTCAAATGTTAGCTGTGATGGAAAAACTCCATTGGCCTCTCTAGAAGTCGAGACTCGATGATAAGGAGGCAGAATATTGTCCACGAGGGAAATGTCTAGAACTCCGTATTCTTTTCAAACGTATTTTTTAGAATTACGTAATGGTCTACACGTCGATTGACATGCCATATCGTCTAAAGTTCATAGGATGATCGATTTCTGTTTTTCATAAAATCTGCTTCATTGTCTTTACAAGCTACTGCTGGAACGCAGATATTCAACTACCAAGTTCCGATTTACTTGGGAGGTTTTTGCATATGTTTCTATTAAGTAAATGCCCAAACATTATGAATATAAACAATTAGATCATTCTGACATAAGCTCTTGTTTATCAGCCTATAAATAAAGCTGATTCACACACTTTTTTCTTTCCCTTAACATACTTCTTCCATCGTAGGAAAGTAACCGATAACGTAAAAATGTTAGTTAGTAATGGCTCTTGTTTCTTTCAAAATATGTTAAATCGGAAAAGCTATATTGCGGCTGCGGCTAGTCTCTGCTATAGCAGGGCGACCTTCTAGGCAGGGTTCTTGAGCTTTGGAACTCACAGACTGTGAATAACAAGGTTTCACTGTAAATAGGTTTAATCATACTGGCCTGCTGGTCTTAGCCAGAATTGCTGTAAGTGGTATAAAAAAAATACGCTCGAAAAAAATACGGAGGTCTAGACATTTCCGTCCACGAGCGATCCTCTGAGGGAATGAGAACATTCTCAGCGGCAGCAACAGCAACAGCAGCAGCAACAGCAGTAGTAATAGTGGATGGAACTATCACTAATTTCTATGGTTCAGACAATTGTCATCGCTGATGAATATTTTTTCTTGTAAAAAATACGAGACCAAAAAGAAAAAGATGTTTGGCTATCTATTAATTGTGTTGCAATAAAACGTATGGCTTATACCCATAATGTTCTTCTCCAGCCTTTAAAGTTTTTTACGGATGAGAGGGTGACTTTTCTTTTTTATGATAAAATAAAAAAACACGAAATCACACTTTTTTTTCCCTTTCATAATAAACAAAAATGTCAGCCATGGAAGATAACGTAAAGCATTACGAGTTGATTCTTGTTAATGTAGGCTTGTTAACATGTTTTATTTGTAGGACGTTAACGTAGCTAAACAAGAACAAGTAAACTTAGTTTCTAAATTCTACCCCTCTCGATAATTAACTCAAGTCTTTTAAATAAAAAAGGTACCACCAAACGATCTATTACTGCAACATTTGGAATCCATTAAAAGCAATGCACCTCAGAACAAGGAAGAAGTAAAGTATACATACGCACCTTTTATTTTTATTTGAAAATAGGCGCCCTTGAATTAACAAGATATATATTTATAGTTTTATCAACAATCCTTTCAAATATTCTCGACCTTGAATCGTTGTGTCAAAGGCAACGATGCCACCTCTTATAAAGATGCCAAGTAAGACACCCCTTTCAGACGTCACTCTGACACAACTTAATCATTTAAAAAATAATAGGAAAAGCGAAATCAGCGACATTGTTTCTCAATACGTCGACCTTGTTCATGAATTCCCAGAGACCAACCGAGTACCCATTTGGGACATGGCCAATTTACTCTATTTTTCTGACGTACCTTGGTCTACCAGTTTGAACGATTGGATCAATGAACATGTAGCCATCCCCGACGATAAAAACGAGTTTGAAATTGCCGTGCATCAAATATTACGTGGTAACGCCATTGAAGCTATCGATCAATTGAATGCGATCGCAGACTTGACAGAAGCTCAACTTGCTACCATTAAGATCATCACAGATCTTCTTGACCAGTTTCAACATCTGCAAGGCGACCAAACCACCTATGCAGCTCAATGGTCTTTATGGCATGAATTATGTGCTACAGAACTCTGCAACTTTATTAACATGTGTGAAGAAGTAGGAGACTCCAATGTGGATCAAGAGATTCGCGTGATATTTGATGTCTTATGTGGCGATGAAGACACAATTTTCTATTCGGGTACGTATTATGAAAAAGTCATGGGTACCCTCTTGTATTCAAGACCGGCTACTACCTTGTCCGGACTGACCCATTTGGCTCAGCGCCTAGTTGACGAGGACACGCAAGTGGAGCCCAGTGCCTATATCCTGATGGGTTGTTTCGATGAGGCCTTTGAGACCTGTCATGATCTCTGGTTACAGACACATTTAGGCCATGCTTTAATTGTCCTGGGTGCAAAACAGACCGATAAAACCTTGTTGTCCGTAGAAACTGAAACGATCATTGATCCTGTCTATTACTCTATCCGCGAATATGCTACAAAGTTTGCCGAAAAGAATATGTGGAAGGAAGCTGTTGTCTATCTCTCTGCCTGTGTAGAGAACAGAGAAATATGGATCAAGCAGGTAAGCGTGATTAAATATATATGCATATGAATATTGCGAACTGGGTATTTATTTCTCTTTATTTTGTAAATGCATGATTTAGCTTCTGGGAGAATTACCTTTAAAGAACAAAGAATTAAGTTTATTGATGGGTATACTTCATATTGCAGAGGAACACAACATGATAGCTGTTCAACGCTACATCCATCAAGCCATGGGTCAACGATACGAGGAAAAGAAAGAGACACGACAAGCCACGATTGAATACGGTAAAGCGCAAGATTTGAAAGCTTTGGATCGATTTGCACATGCCGAGTTCAGTCAGTATCTGAGGACAGGAAAATTGGGCGATGTGGTGACAGATATGGAAGCGTTGAAGTCGAGTCCGCATTATGCCATGCTGATTGTTTATCATAATTTTAGAGTGTATATTGAAAAGAAGGATTGGAAAAAGGCAGCAGAGGCATTACTCGAATTATTGAAAGATGAACATTTACCCACTAAATTTGAAATCGTGTTACTGGTGGATAATTTTGTGATTTTGCAAGATCCAAGAGACTTTTATACCGAGGAAGAATTACTTCATTTGATCAAGATCTTTCGCGTCGTCACAAAAGATAATGTTCATCATGATTTTTTTGCCAAATACTATCAATTTATTCATCATCATGACGTACAAGGTTCTGTGGTGGTTGCAAGAATGCGAGAATTACTTGGTTACAGAGCTGCTACCGTAGCCATGGAGAGTAAAGACTTAATCACCACGACAGAAGAGGTTCATGCCTAATTTTTCTTTAATAAATCTTTCTTTTGACACACACATGTGTGTAACCCTGTGTGCGTGCGTGTGGGGAATATTTTAGACCTGGGTTTCAACTTTCTTTTCTTCCCTCTTCTTTTTATTCCTTTGACTAATGACAAACATAGAAAAGAAACCCGACTTGAAGGAATTAGCAAAGATCTTGTCTGATGCCTATTATCATGTTTTACAACATGCTAATTCACCCAGAGAAGCTGTAGGTTTCGTCCTCTTTTAAAAAAAATAAATGAAGGTCATTCTCCATGACTCATCGTATTCTTTCTAGCTTGTGAAGGACTTGACGCAGCTTTCAAATTACAGCAACGATTTACCCGTGCCTTGGTTCACCCATGCATTCATGGACACTCTTTTAAGCCTTAAGGACGAATTTATCACACACAATAACATCACAGGCTTACAATCCATCCTCACACTTTTCTCCAGTTGGCTTCGTCGTTGCCCTACGACAGACAATAACCACCTTACTTCGGTACTCGATACACTATTTAAAGTCCTCACCAGTTCAGACCCCACTTACCTCACGCTTCAAAAAGAATGTTGGATCGGTTGGGTGGGATTAATAGGAAAGGAACAGGATATCAAATTATTAGACGGCATGACAAGCATTATTCTCGCCATGGAGGACCCCGCACGTATACACTCTTTAGCCGATACCGTTGATGCCGGTGTAGCGCATGCCTTGGCTCAAACTACCGCACTCAACGATTTTGAAGTCGAGACCTGTCAACATTTGTTAGAAGCTCATATTCAGTTCTGTCATCGTCGTCGCTTGGATGGTCCTCGCGCTATGATGACTACAATGGAACATGTCGTGGATATAAGATCACAAGAGACCCCACAAAGCTGTGCCGAAGCTCATTTAACCACGTTGGTTCAAATGGCAAAAGACGTAGTATCAAATCAGTCAGATGCTCACTTTGTCAGATTGGCCGTGGTCGCGGGGATCGTTCGTATGCTACAATTCAATCAAGGAAAAAACACTAAAAAAGTGTTAGCATTACGAGAATCTGTTGAAGCTATCTTGATCCAACATCTTGATATGGCAGTGAAGGAAGAGCATACCACAGTAAATCAAGGTAAAAACCACCAATTTTTTTTAAAAAAAAATTGCATATAAAAGTATGCTTACGTAATAAAAATAGATTGGATTGCTTTCTTTGCTGGCAGATGTCTAATCCAAATCCCTCCTACCATCTTATCTGAGATGAAGAATACCCCTGCATTATTAAAGGTTATGTCACAAAGCTTATTAAGCACTTTGAACGGTGGAGATATATTACACCGGTTACAAAACACAGGAGCAATGACAGCCGAGGTATCTCACATGGTAGAACAACCCATGTTTAAGGACATTGGACGTATCTCTCGCGCCATTGCCAAACTAGTTGAAATATGTATTCAGGAAAAGAAATCTACCGTGGTTGTCCAAGCTGTCTTGGATCGATTGGTTGGTGTTTCTTATAACGTCTTTTTTGATTGGGATCGATATTTAATGGCGCATTCTAGCAAGACCATGACCGCAGGTAAAATTGGGGTTTTTTTATGGAAAACGTACAAAGAAGGATTTACTAAATACATGTACGTGTAAGCAGAGGAAAGCAGTAATTACAAGGAACTTGAAAACAAGGTGTGGACGCTATTCAAGAGCATTATGTTCTCATTTACAGTAATTTTAAAATCCGTGGCGGTAGACACAGAAGGGTTAGTGGGTGTACCTCATGCAGCCCAAGATATTATTGCTACCTATGCCAATTTAAATTTTATGACGGAAAATTTAGGAGAAGGTGTAGGACGTCAAGCGTATCAAGAAACCTTGACCAATGCCGTTGCCTATCTCTTGCACGATTCCTGTCAATTAAACACCCTTCTATCTACCGCTTTTAAGGAATTTGGTACTAATTACATACTATGTACAAGAAGAAAGAGAGACAAACTAATATGAATAACATAGCGCCCTCTCATTTTGTAAAGGATACAACACCTGCAGTTGAACTACTCTCGTTTGTAAAGCAATCACGGCTCTTGTTTTTCTCAGATTTGGTGGAACAAGTGATGTCGCGTATTGAAAACGAGGTGCTGGAACAAGATATTTTGCCCGTGCTATATCCTATTTTAAAATGGAAACGCATTGCCAATAAAAATCTGTATGAAAGTGCTCATACAGCTGTTATTAGTGCTTTCTTGGCAGAGAAACCCGTCTCACGCGAATTAGCCGGTGTCTATTCCCAGATCCTGATCGAGGTAAAGAAAAAGATAAAAACACGGGGGACTGACATATGTACTTACATTTGTGTATAAATGTACGTAGAATTTCCCGGAGCCAATGAATTTAGATCAGTTTAGGTTTGGGTTTAGTACACTGATTGGAGCACTATGTAGCATGGATGATGCCTTGGCCTGGTTAACGGTAGAAGGCTTGATTCACAAAATTCGATCACTGACAAATGAAAAGGACCTTGTGCTTCGTAATGAATATACCACTGCCTTGATTGATTTACTCAAACCATTATCCCTGGGTCCCTTTTTTCCTTCCATTCTGGACGAAATTAAGCGTTTGATTCTAGCCCAAGAAACAGAGGCCATGCAAAAGGCTACCATGAAAATCCTGTTTGAGACAGTGAGTGGAAGTGGTATCTCTGATATGAGAAGAACAGAAGCCGTTGGTTGGTTTTTGGAGTTAAAGCATGAATTAAAGTTTTAAAAGTATTTTATTCTGATATATGTATAAGGTTATGAAGACTTTTTTTCGTTGACTGAAATGTAATGGTACGCGACGATGAGTACCATGGTGACTACACCGAGTGAATTGGCAATAAGTGTGAGTTGGTTATCTGTAATCATGTCTAGTGTTCTGCATATAAAAGGAATAAGAGAGTTAGTTCAATGAAGAAAAAGAGAACAATATTATGATTACTCTTTGTAGAATGGAAAACAAGATGAAAAGGCACAACAATAATAATTTCGTCCAATTCATTTGCACCAACAGCAGCACAACAGTTCAATTTTTTGAGAGGAGTTTAGAATGCGTTGTGTGTGTGTACTGTGTTAAGACACACACACAAAATTTATTATTTACAAAAAAAAATGACACAAGTTCATGCAATGTAAAACAAGACGAATCAAGTTCTGAATTCTTTTCGATCAGTTCGAACATATTCTGCAGCAGATGCTAGTAAATCTATGGCAGAAGGCTTACGCTCATGCCTTGGTGCTGATGATGATGGTAATGGTGGCGGTGGAGGTGGAGGAGCTAATATTGGCATTGGTGCAATAGGGCAAGGGTAGGGTCCAATGACTGTTTGTTGTTTATAATAATGGTTTTCTAGGACGGGATAGGCAGATGCTCTTCTAGGTTTGACATGATAAGGATGTGTCGAGACAGCAGGTATGAGTGAATGCCGATGTCGAGTGTTTAAGTTTTTGGTGCGATTCATTTTGGCTCTACGATTCTGAAACCAAACCTATCAGAAAAAGTTAAAAAAAAAAATTTAATCTATACAAAAAAATATATGTAAATACCTGGACTTCACGCTTGGTCATGTCGAGTTCTTCTGCTAGATTCTCTCTGATTTCTGAACTGGGGGTATCTGTTTGATCAAATATTTCGATAAGTCTATTGTACTGACCGGGCGAGATGCGTTTTCTTTTGGCCTTGGTCAGTTGTGATCGACTACCACCCCCCATGACGGGTGATAGTGTACCACTTGATATAATTGGTGATAAATCCACTGGTTCGTCATTTAATAATGCGGATATTGCTAATGACCCTCTTCGATTGGTGTGTTCTTCCATTGATATACAAAAAAAAAAACAGAAGAAAAAGTAAAAGAAAGACCTCAAAATAATAATTAAAAAAAAAAACTTTTTGTCGGTTTATCATTTTTAAGCTGAAACTTTTTTTTTTTTTTTCACTCTGTCTCATTTTCATCATAATAAGATATATACAATAATGAATTCGAACTCCATTGTAGAATAACAGACATAAAAATAGGTCTTGCGCATCAGGTACAGTGTTTGTTTATGCTAGCTCCTCTTTTTGCTTTCTTTTTCCTTTTTCTTCTTCTTCCTATAAACTTATTATGCCTCATGATATAGAGAATTATAGTGCGATCAGGGACATGAACAGAAGAGAACTACAGCAACAAAGACAACGGATCGTCTTATTTGGTATCCTAGTAATCGTTTCCATGGTTTGCGTCTTCGTAAGTTATGTTGTCTCTTCCGTTTCCAAGCCTACCTGCTCCGATCAAATCATTTGGATACCCAGTTGTAATCGAGAGGAATATCTCCATGAAAACACTTTACTATAGATACCCTTAAAATAAAAAAGTTAACTTGTTCTACGCGTTGCTGCTACACAACGTCAAGAGACCCTTTTCGGTAGATCGACCCTAACGCATTCACACGTGATCACTACAGATACACACACACACACACACAGAAAGACATGATACATTTTTTTTTATGATTTTATTATGAGATGTCTCACAATAAAAAAAAAAGGGGGATGAAGATTGTATTTAATTGAAAAAAGCAATTTACATGGTGAGTTCCATAATGGCGTTAACGACATCGTTCTCGTTGTTCTTCAAAGCCTTAACGGCCTTGGCGCGAGAGACGTTAGCTTGGGTGATGACTAAATCGATATCCTTCTCCTCAACACCGGTGGCATCAACTTCTTCATCGTCTTCCTCAGGGGTTTCCTCAACAAGAGCGGGTGCTTCACCTTCTTGGTTCTCGGCTTCGGCAGCCATTTGTTCGGCAAGAGCAGATTGGGCTCTGGCGTTCATGTCTTCAGCTTGCATTTCACCGAAAACAATGTGGGTGTCAGAGTTGACACTCATGAAGACCTCAGGGTTGGCAATGGCGAAGACGTTGGCTTGACCACGAGTGAAAGTAACACGAGTGATACCTTCAACGGGCTTCAAACCAAGACTGAGGATGGCCTTACGGGCCTTTTGTTCACCACGAGATTGAGGGGAGAGGGCAGACATCTAATAAAAAAGGGGGGTGTTACTATCGCTACATTATAGCTGTCTCACTTTGCTTTCTTCCTCTCCAACTGTTGTCATCAATGATTTTTTTTCCAAAAAAAGTAGTGGTGTATACAGGGCCTTTATTCTAACTTGAGAGCTCTATTTTTTTTTTTTTTTTTTTTTTTTTTTGCCGTTATCCGTTTTCATAAAATTCATCCATCCATCCATTTTTTTGGGCATCCATTCTTTCATCATCTACTTTTTTTGCTTTTTCATTGATGTCGTTGCAGGAGAGTCTTTCAGCTGACGAGGAGGGTATGCAAGACTTACAATATTTATAATAGAAAGAGTGATTCAATATTCCGTATTTCTTTTGGAAGATCAATCCTCACTCTCCTCCTCCTCCCCGCCCCCTCGTTCATCGGACATTCAAAAGATTTGGAAACGGACCTTTTTTTTCTTCACTCTCTGCTGCTAACGTGTGCGTTCTGTCATTCGAGGGAGTAAACAGACATTATTGGAATGCACATTGACTATTAACGATAGAGGTAAAATGAACTACTATCTATATAATGAAAACATTTTATAAAATGAATGGATACTGATATGAAATGCGTTACTAGCTCACTACCATTGTTTCCTCTTGAAGAGAATGCGTGTTTAAAAATAAAATTAAAAGGCCTAATGTCCGTGAATGTATGTATCCTCTATTTATAAATTCTGTCGCGCATACATCAAACAGTTGACAACTGTAGCCCTCTTTGCTGTATACAATAAAGGAATGCATAATTACACAACTTCTACTGATAAGAGGGACAAGAAATCGGCCTTGTCTTTTTTTAAAAAAAGGGCTTATTTTTCTCTATTTTAAGAATTCATCCTATGACAAAATGATCAATGCTTATGTATCTCTGTTTCGCAACAATAAGTGCATATGTATCAATCATAACAGCTCTCTCTCTTTTTTTTTTTAGTTGCTATAAAACGACGTCACAAATAGAATACGTCACCTCTCTCAAATTTTCAGCTTGCGCAACGCAATGCAACCACGCGTTCCTTCATCAAAAAAAGTCGCAATAAAGCTTTTAAAAACATCTTCCATTTAAATCTATATACAACATAAAAATGGAGTGTCTTTTTGGAATTACAGGAAATGGGTTTACTTTACTTGCAGCTGATACCATCAGTGCTCGTAGTATTGTGGTGATGAAGGCTACGGAAGACAAGTCTCGTCAATTGAACGCGCATACCGTCATGTTATATACGGGTGAACCTGGTGATACTGTGAATTTTGCCGAATACATTCAACGTAATATTAAGCTTTATGGCATCAAGAATGGGATCGAACTTAGTCCCAAAGCCACCGCCACTTTCACTCGTCGCCAATTAGCCGATTCCTTGAGAAGCAGGGTAAGTTTACTGTTATGACATTTACGAAAAAAAAAACATTCATCTTAATCATACAATGACACACAGCACCCATATTCTGTCAATTTGATTATTGGCGGTTACGATGCAAAGAAGGGACAACCCGAGCTTTATTGGATCGATTATCTCGGTGCGATGGCTTCATTGCCCTTCTGTGCACAAGGTTATGGTGCTTATTTCTGTACATCGTTGATGGATCGTTATTATACAAAGGATATGAATGTTGAGGAAGCAAAGAAGTTGATGGGCATGTGTATTCAAGAACTCAAGACAAGATTTATTGTCAACATGCCCAAATTCAATATCAAGTTGGTTGATAAAGATGGTGTCCATGATGTCGAGTTGTAATTTTTTTTTTCTGCGTGAAAAAAATAAAAGAAAGTCTTATAAAAAAGAGAAGAGAGATAGGCACATTGAATGTTTATAGGTTTTTTAGATGGGAGGAATCGTGGTTTTAAGGAATTCGGCAATATCTATGATCTCTTTATCATTGGCAGAGTGAACAAGGCCAGGATAGGTTTTGCGGGTAACATTATAACCCATCGATTGGAGCTTCTCAGCACTTTCTTGACCATAAATGGGCTTCACCACAGGATCTTCATCACCATGACACATCAAAATAGGTGTTTTTCTATTGGCATCCGAAGCCATCTACACAATAGCATTTTTTTTTTTTTTTTTTTTTTTTTTTGGAAGTTAGCACCCCATATCTTTGCTTTTTTTTTAAACAAACAGAAACTTACGGCAGGGAATTTGCTAGATAATCCGAGCGAACCACTACATCCCACAATACCCGCCAACTTGTACTCGGAAGTCAAGCCAGTTAATAAGGATAGAACACAGCCTTGAGAGAAACCACCGACAATAATTCTGTTGGCAGGGATACCATTATCCACTTCTTTCGAGATAATCTTGTTTGCTTTATATTTTGTGTGAGTCACTCCGTCCTACTTATCCTTCTTCAATATTTAACTTCTTACCCAAGGAGATGGAGCTCAACATGCCGGCCTCATCCTCATTCTTCAAACTAAACTTGTCAAGACCAGATAAATCAAACCACGCTATAGGGTATTATGAGTATTTGGGAGCGTGTCTTTTTCTATTAGGTTATATTGCTTACCGGGCATGGGGTAACCACCGTTTAAAGCAATGGGTCTAACAGGACTAGAGTACAATTATGAGTATCTAGAGGAATGTAAGAACGAGGATCGCTTTTTTTTTCTTACGCATTAGGAAGAATCCACTTGACATAAGGGAAAAGAGTCGAAAGTTCTTCGGCCAAAAAAGACCATCCAGAACCAGTATCACCAAGTCCATGAAACCAAAGCACAGTGGCGGTATGTTTGGTCTTTGCTGCAACTACAACGGCGGTTAAGGACATTTTTTTATAAATTCTGCTTGCGCGGGGGTGAGAAAAATAAATTAAGAAGAGGTTTGCTCTTTTTGTGTGTGTGTTGCCGTTTGGGATGGGTTTTAAAAAAGGAGTCACAGTCTCACCTTTTCGATATCACAAAGGCCAATGACAACACTTGCATAAGAATAAAACGACACAATTAGGACAATTGTATAGAATCAAATTATAACAAAACTAAATAAATTATACGACGGATTTTATGGGGAATAATGCTAGAGAGTACTCCCGGATAATGTTGTAAATAAGGTGATCTTGTTACTGTCATCATGCTTTATTACAGATGTTAACAAGTTACAGCAAAAAAACAAAGCATGTTTTGAAGTGGGAAACAGCACCAAGATACCTCTAGTGGTCTTTGGAGACGGACTGAAAAACTAGGTCATATTAAGTTCAATTATCTGAGACATGGCGTATCTAATAAAATATATAGACAACTAGAAACAAGAGAAAATGTTGCAGAACTATTGTTTATAGATGTCAATGAGTTTAAGACATCGAAGGTAATTAAGAAAAGATTACACAAAATATAAACATTGCACTTTCAGCTGAAACAGATTCATCATAGATTTGAAAATGTTTCTTCCAAAACAATTTGGGAAATCTCAAAAGTAGACAAGACGGCCATGAAAAAAAAAAACAAAAGATCTGCCAAGTATTGAAGTGCAAAACTTACAATATTTACTTTCTCCAAAAAAGATAAGCCAAAGGTATGAGAATTAATTAACAATCAGGATATCCAGAAAGGAGATCGCTGGTATAAAATAGGTATTTCTTATTATAGATTTGTCTTTTTTTTTTATCTAGTACTAAATATAAGGGGTATGATCATTGTTGTTTATGCACGCAAATCTACATTAGGCTTCATGTTTTAAAAAAAGAAAACTTGACAATAGAAATTTATGCTAGGTTTATGTATCAAGGGCAATTCCATCATTCTCTACCATGAAGCTATTCGAACTCACTGTATCCGTAAGTATGCAAGGTCATTTAGCGTAATATACACTGGGTTAGTTCAAATTATGTTTTCTGACACAAGTAAAAAATGTTCGATTATCATTATGGATCATCACATACCAATAAACATTGTAAAACAAAGAAAGTGATTTTTTTAATAAAGCTGGTGTATAAGAGATGGTGGGATAGAATGCAATGTTATGGAAAAGGGTGGAGGGGGGAATATTTATATATGTACAAAAAAGAAAGGTGTGTTATGTAATTATAATGAATACATCGGAGATATGGGGTTATTTGTTTAGAGGATATTACGGCTACGCATTTTCAACTTTATACGACACATTTGAGAATCAACGGTATCTAACCGGGATTCTAATTCTTCTCTGCGTCTTCTGACAAGCGCATTTCCTCCACTGGAAGGGGCTTTACTGTATTCCGCTTGAAGCTAAATAGAAAAGTTTTGTTAATAAATAATATGAAAAATTGCATAAAAACAAAAAACCAACTTACGAGTTCTTTTTCTCTTAGCAACTCTCGCAATTGAGCATCCAATTCTTCTGTACATTCTTCAAGAGGAGCAGTTAGTTTTTTTTGTTGTGGGGTCTTGGTGGTCTTGGCTTCAGTAATTTCTGTGGGAACCAATGATTTTCTAGATCTGGATATGGCAGGATAAGCACCAGCCGCAGTCGCCGCAGTAGCAGTAGTGCCAACTGAAGCAGCCGCAGTCGCAGTGTTGGGCTTTTCTTCAGAGGGGGTATGAGTGGTAGAGGATTTATTTCCAGGACTATGAGTACGACGTTGTGGTCTAGATCTACCTGACTTTAAATCTGCAACTACAGCATCTATGGAGCTATATACAAGTAAATAAATTTGATTAGGAACCACACATATATTCAACAAAGGAAAAAAGGGCCAAACTTACGTTGTAGGAGAAGTCATATGGTTAGATGAGTTCAAATCATCATTAAAAACGCCCATTCTTAAAAACTGTTCCATGGTAGATTTCAATAAGCGAACTTGATTTTGAGAGTGATGAAGTTGAGCGGCTAATAAACGATCACTGGATTTGCCTTCTACTGTCTTGTTATATTTAGAAGGCCTCTTCTTTTCAAGTTCACGTAATTCTTTATTCTTATCATCAATTTCGGATTTCAGTGCTCTTGTTTGGGTTTCTAATTGACGCAGTTGTTCGGTTGCTTCATTTAATTTGTCCATCGTAGATGAAAGGTCATCCTGAAATCTTTCTTTCAGGGTCTACAATTTTTTTTTTGTTTCTTTAGTTCTCTTGTCATACCCCTTTTTTTTGATTTTAATGTGAGTTTTATTACCTTTTCATTTTCAAACTTTTTTTTCCATTCTATATTATCCGCCGCTAAATCATCCACGTTTTTACTCAGAAATAATACATCCTTGTTATACGCTAATAATTATAAAAGTAATTAGTATTCGTACAATGATACACCCCCTTTTATAAACATATTTAAGACACACACACAAACCTTCTTTCTGCTTTTGAAGCGCTTTTACTGTAGCGCGCTCTTTGTCCAGTTTAGATCGTAATTTCTCAATTTTAGCATCAGAACCTGTTGTTGTCCCAGGTGGGCTGGTGCTGCATAAACTACTGATCGATTTCGCACTGTCCTTTCGTCTAATTCTACGATGACTACCATGATGACTACTTGAATCAGACGACGAAGCATCTGTATTATCTTGTTGTACAATCATCATCTGCTGCTGCTGCTGTTGATGTTGCTGCTGTTGGAGCTGTGGATGTTGTTGATAATAAGGCTCTTCTACTACTGATCTATTTGAGAATAAGCTATCATCCATTACTTCTGTCGGTGGAGACCAATCATGAGGAAACGAATCATGACTTTCAAAACTGGAATTTTTTCTCCTCAATGGTGGCTGTTGCTGGTGTTGGTGTTGCTGCTGCTGCTGCTGCTGTTGTTGTTGTTGTTGTTGTTGGGATTCATCTAGCCCGAGACATTGTACAATACGATGGCCATAACCATCCTTGATAATCAAGTTATGTACTGTGTTGGATCGAACAAGTCGTCGACTACTGTATTGGTTGGTATCAGATTGTTGACGTGTGTGAAATTGACGATTATCTTCAGAGCTTGCTCTTCTGTAATAAGCAGGTCGATGCACCGTCAAGTAATCATCACTTGTAGCGGGAGATGCA